TTAAAAAAAATTAAGCTTCTTCCGCTCTAAACAAGGAAGCTATCCCTGATATTTATTTTTTTATTTATAAAATTTAAATTTAAAATTTTACTTAAAAAAAATTAAGCTTCTTCCACTCTAAACAAGAACAAGTGATTAATAAAAACTCCTTAATATTGAAAACTCTATCTTCGATCAATTCTTTTTGTTTTATGATTCGAAATTTGGACAGTTCGAGCCGTTATCGATACTCTGCCTCCAGAAAAGGACAAAGATCTTTGGAATTGTGATTCCAATTAAAACGCACGAAACTGACATGTACTCTTTTTCTCATTCAATAAAACTTGCCCAAACTTGTACCAAAAAAAAACTTGCCCAAACTGGTGATTGACATGGCCCACTGGGTTATTGCTTCTATCCCAGTTGGGCACTATAATTCGTGTCTACTGAATAAAAACTGCAATCTCAAACCTTCCCAGTTGCTCTTGCTCTTCATTCGGCAACAAGAAATCTCACCCAAGAAAGAGATTTTTCTGGTGGGGTTTTGTTTCTGGGTACTCCGCCGTCGCTAAATCTATGGCCTCTTCAATGCTCAACAGAGCTGACAACCTCACCCACTTCAGAGGCGTAACCCCAACTGGGTTGGGTTTCTTGGGATCAGACTTTCATGGAAAACGCATTTCCAAAATGGGTCTGGTCTCCAGTTTGAGTGTATCCAGGAATGGAACAATTGTAGCGCCAAAGTGCAGCTTGTCAGCTTCAAGGCCGGTTTCACAGCCGAGATTCATACAGCACAAGAAGGAGGCCTTTTGGTTTTACAGATTCCTCTCAATTGTGTATGATCATGTGATAAACCCTGGTCATTGGACAGAGGATATGAGAGATGAGGCTCTTGAGCCTGCTGATCTCAGTGACAGGAACATGATCGTTGTGGATGTGGGTGGTGGTACTGGTTTTACCACTCTCGGTATAGTTAAACATGTGGATGCCAAGAATGTTACTATTCTTGATCAGTCCCCACATCAGCTTGCCAAGGCTAAGCAAAAGGAGCCCTTGAAGGAGTGCAAGATTATTGAAGGTGATGCTGAGGATCTCCCATTTCCAACTGATTATGCAGACAGATATATATCTGCTGGGAGGTATGTTTTCCAACCATCTTAGCTGTTGTTCCTAAGGAAGTTCTGTTATTTCTTGAAATCAATTCACCGATTATACAGCTTTCACTATAGGCTGTAAATTTTTGATCACTTTATGCTTGGGATGATGTTTGGTGTTAACCAAGAAAACTCAATTGGTCAAGTAATTAAAAGTTATTGTTATAATCCAGAATCAGTTGGAGTCAAAGCAACACACAAGTAACTCGAGTATCTAAATGCTTCTTGTACCTTTGGCCACCTTGTAGTATGAAACAGAAGCATGACCCTTCTCCCCCTTGATTGTTATAAGAGATTAATTACGATTTTGGAACCTCAGACTCTTGACTTGAGTATGATTTTACGAATAAAAGTGTAGTTGAATTGCAATTTGGATTCGATTGATGATTTGTTTTGAATTTGAATGGGAAGGACGAGGATTTTATGATGATATCTTTCATGGGATAATGTTCTTTTATCTTCTCAGCATTGAGTACTGGCCAGACCCACAACGGGGCATCAAAGAAGCATACAGGGTTTTGAAACTTGGAGGGAAAGCTTGCCTGATTGGTCCTGTGTATCCAACATTTTGGCTGTCTCGCTTCTTTGCTGATGTTTGGATGCTCTTCCCAAAGGAGGAAGAGTACATAGAGTGGTTCCAAAAAGCTGGATTTAAGGATGTCCAGCTAAAAAGGATTGGACCCAAATGGTATCGTGGTGTACGTTGCCATGGTTTAATCATGGGGTGTTCTGTGACAGGTGTTAAACCTGCATCTGGGGATTCTCCGTTACAGGTAATTAAATTTTAATCCTTAGTTTTTTTAAAGGTTGCCTTTGTGTGAACTTTGTAAATGCACTGGGATGCATGCTTGTACATCACATTCCATATCTCCCTTCGTTATTGAAATTGGAGCATTATACTCCAGCTTGTATGCCAAAGATTCAAAGATCAAGGCTGAACAATGCAGATGGCTCCACATTTATTTTTCTTCTTTACTACCTTTTACTTGAAACACGTAGCCTGCAATCACTTATTTGCTACAGTTCAGAATAAACTTTCAGCCTGATATCTAACATAAACATGGTATTTGGAGGTTTTTGAATTTTTGCTGTTTACCTTCTCCTTGTACCCCAAGTTAGTCTATCTCCAGTTCCACACCCTATTCTCCTTTTGTTTTCTGTCTCTCACATTTATGCTATTACCTTCAGCATCTATGCTATTACCTTCAGCATCTATGCTATTATCTTCAGCATCTATGCTATTACCTTCCGCATCTATGCTATTACATTCATCTCTTACCTTACCCTGTTTCATTGACTGCATATCCTTTTTTATGGTTGTGGTGGTCCTATTATTGCAAACTCAGATATGAGCTTTCTATCACCAGTTCAGTCAATGTTGTAGAAGTGTTCTATGGCTAATGGGAATACAAAGAGGCAAACTAACAATTATTATAAACTTTTGAGCCTTACTTGGTCAAAACATAGTACTTAGCATCACTATTGTAGGCTGCAATTACCTTGGCTGCATTTAAAATTTCACAACCATGATAATTGGTATGAGGAGAACACGAGATCTAAACTGTGAAACAATCCTTACATCTATTCTTGCCATTTAAAAGACTTTGCATGGTTTGTTTGGTTGTCAATGCTAATATTCCTTCAGAGTAGGAGGTAACTTTTTGCTTTTGACTGCTGGAAACTTGAACTTTGGATTAAGAGTACAATTTCCATTCTCAAGAACTAAAGAAGCATGATTCTGATTTCCTCATGACATAATGAACTCTAGCAAGTTTTGTTTCATAGTTCATTAGCCTTTCTGCAAAATGTTGTTGATTCAATTATTAACTGATATTGGCCAAAATCAATATTTTGATTTATTTGCTGCCAGGTTTTGTTTAAAGCCCTTTTCTCCCATATTTGTAACTGTCTGTGCCATTTGTGTTCGAAGTTTCTTTCTGCCTCGACTTTGGGCTGAAGCATTTTGCATTTTGCTACAAGTGGATCATCGTAAACACCCTTTTATTCCAACATGATCTTAACTTTGTTGTACAATCCAGATATTTTTTTTTCTTTGATTTTTATCATTTGTTGATAGATTAACAATTGGAGTTTTTTCTTAATTCTTATGCAGCTTGGTCCAAAGGCAGAGGATGTAACCAAGCCTGTAAATCTATTCTCATTTCTTACGCGTTTCATATTAGGTTGCATGGCAGCTACCTATTATGTACTGGTTCCTATCTACATGTGGCTCAAAGATCAAATTGTACCTAAAGGGCAACCAATCTAAGAGGGCAATGAAGTTTCTATTTCTTCCTTTCTGTTCGTTTCTTGGTGTGCTGTTGGACAAGTTTTAACTTAATAATGACAGTCATGCATTCCGAGACAGTAGAATTATATACAATATTTGAACTAGCAATTGCATGCCATTTTTATTTCTGTCAGCTATTTGAATTTTTTTCTAGTATATAGTATACACCCCACTAATCTAAGCCAAAGTTCAATTGTTGTTTTTATCAGGATATCAACTCTAATCTATTTCTTTTGAGAAATTCTTCAGGGTTCATTTGGTTTGCAAAAAAATGACTTCAAAAAATTATTTTCACATTAGTCTGTGTTTGCAAGGCATTTTTCGGGAAGTTGCTTTCTATTACTCAAAAATGAGTGGATCTTATGCGGGTTTTCGGATCTCACAAGGGTAGCAACAACCGACGCCTCTGCATATCAGCTTTCAAGTTTCACTAGCGAATCTTCTTGCGGAAAAAAAAGTTGCAGAGGTGGTTCATCCACCTGATCTTATGCGGATTTTTCTATGACTTTGTCCGCATAAGTCATAAATTTTGCTTGATTTTGAGCGAGCATGTAGACATAAATTTTAAACAAAACAATTTTCTCAACGTACAATAACCAAACAAGACAATTTTCTCAGCATGCCGATTGAAACAATTTTCTATTTCATTTAATACTAAACTTGACTGAAACTTGCAATTCAAAGCCAAAAATACCAACAGATTGAAAGACACAAATGATATCTCAAATTTCTCACAAAATCAATTATTCCCTTAACAAGGAATTTTCCCGTTGAACCCGTTGATCTCCCTCTAACAAAACTCCAAACTTTCTCCAAAAATTTTAACTGAAACTTGCAATTTCTACTTGATTATGTCTAAGTCTGTTCTTCTCCTCTTGATTCTAATTGTGGTTCATAGTGGTGGCCAGAGCATCAGTAGACGCAGGACCGTTAGTGATGGTCGGAGCATCAGTGGAGGTTGAGGCATCAATGGTGGCCGGAGCATCAGAGGGGTGGAAGCATCAGAGGTGGCAGGAGCATCAGTGCTAGTTATCAAGTTTGCTATTATTTCAAGCTGAGAGAATATGGTTGCCACAGCTGCAAATAACTCAGCCTTACATGTTGCTAAGCTTGGAGCATTTGCGGGGTTTGCAGCTTGACCATTCCTGGCTCTTGCCCCGCCATCCAGCGATGTGAGAATGATGACCTCAGCTGCAGTGTAGGCAACCAACCTCTAGGCAGTCCCAGCCATTTCTTCGTTGTTTGTGGCAAGGGAAGTGGTTGCCTGATTGAGGTTGGTTGCTGCATCAATTGCTCCAGAAGTGATGGCTGCAGTGATGAACAGAGAATCGTTCCAACGAAAACTATGGCTAGGTATAAAAAATAATTAATTTTAAAATTATTTGAACAATTAGAAATGATGAATTTCTAATTAAAATTAATTAAAAGAAAAAATCAATTTAAAATAAAGTCATTAATATATGAGATATTAAACCATTAGATTTTAGTATTAACTAATCAACATTGATTTTAAATTATTATATTTTTTGTTGAGGTTTTAAAGCATCAAAGTCCAAAATCAATTCCTCAATAAACTCAATCAACCATCAATAATCAAATTAAATCAAATAAGAAAAATAAAAGGACACCAAAGATTCTTACGTGGAAAATGTAAATGAGAAAAATCATGGGTCGCTTATCCAGACACAAATCAACTCACTATTGAATTGTTAGATTACAACTTTTGAATCTAAATATAAATCTCTTAAATCTCCTGTATATTGAAGGGAGAAGTGCTCTCAACCTTTTTGTTTTTCCTCACTGTTTTCTCACAGTTTACACCTTTACATTCATACACATTTTATATTAGAGATAAATAAGGGTGTTTTTGGATACAAGGATAGTAAAAACCTATTCTACCAAGGACTAATTTGTCAACTTGACAAAAGCTAGAGGTGTCTTCTTTGCTTTTCCCATTTTCTTCAAGAATAGCAAGTTCGTGTTGAGAAACCTTCTCTCTTCAATACTTCCCAAGTTTCTATCATTATCAATGCACCAAGGTGCATCTCCATTATTGAGCCACCCAACTTGGGAGGGCTAGCTCAAAAATCTCCCCCACCTGAGCTAGTTGGGGGGTTCCACCAAACTTGCTTGTGATCTATAAAATTCAAACTTGCTTCTCACTAAAGACTTGGTCATCATATCAGAGCTATTATCATCTGTGTGGACCTCCTTAACATCAAGCACATTTTCTTCAATTGCATCATGTATCCAATGATACCTTAAATCAATATGCTTAATTCTAGAGTGAAATTGTGGGTTCTTGTTCAAGTAAATGGCACTTTGATTATGACAAAACAAGACCTTCTCTTGCTTAACCACCCAACTCTTCAAAGAAAGTCTTCATCCACACAATCTCATTTCCAACTTTAAATAGAGCTACATACTCAGCTACTATAGTAGATAAGGATACACCTTTATGTAGTTTTGACTTACATGAAACTGCTCCTTCTACATAAAGCATCAAGTATCCAAAAGTAGAATTTTTAGTGTCTAGATCTCCACCCAAATCAGCATCGTTATAACCAATAAGTAAAGGTTCATGCTCACCATAACATAAACACATGTGAGACATACCTCTAAGATACTTGACAATCCACTTAATAGTTATTCACTATTGCCTGCTAGGATTGGATAAAAATTTGCTCATTACCCCCATTGCATGAGCTATATCTAGCCTTGTGCATACCATGGCATACATTAGGCTACCAACTGCAAATGCATAAGACACATTCTTCATATCTTTTGCTTCCTCCTTGCTTGTAGGACATTACTCCATACCAAGTTTGAAATGGCCTGCAAGTGGAGTACCCATGGGATTTGCTTTGCTCATGTTAAACTTGTTAAGCACCTTCTCAATATATTTTTCTTGTGGTAACCATAGTTTGTTGTTCTTTTTGTCTTGAAAGATCTTCATTCCAAGAATTTGCTTTGCTGGACCTAAATCCTTTATAGAAAAGGACTTGCTCAAATCACTCTTCAAAGTTGCAATTTTTTGTGCCATGGTCAAGAATCAGTATATAATCCACATAAAGCAAAAGTATCAAGAAGTCACTTTCTGGATATCTCTTTACATAAACACAATGGTCAGATTCAGTTCTAGTAAATTGATGCTACCTCATAAAAGAGTCAAAAATATGATACCATTACCTTGGAGCTTGTTTAAGACCATACAAACTCTTCTTCAATTTGCAACACTAGATTCTTCTTGCCTTGTAGCTTAAATCTCGTAACTTGCTTCATATAGATCTCCTCCTCAATATCACCATGGAGAAAAGCTATCCTAACATAGAGCTGTTTAGTCTCTAAATTCAAGCAAGCTGCCAAAGCCAAAACAGCTTGAATGGATGACATCTTCACTATTAGTGAGAAAATCTCATCATAGTTAATGCCTTTTTATTGTCCAAAGCCCTTCACCACTAGTTTAGCTTTGTACCTTGGATCAGGATTATTGACCTCAAACTCTCCTTTGAAAACCCATTTGTTGTTAAGAGCTTTGTTGTCCTTTGAAAGCTTTACCAACTCATAAATGCCATTCTCTTGTAAAGAATTCATTTCTTCTTGCCTTGTCATTAGCCATTCTTTCTTGTTTTCACTCTCCATGGCTTCATTATATGTTTTTGGTTGTCCCCCATCAGTCAAGAGCACAAACTCCTTAGTAGAGTACTTCCAAGCTGATTGGTGAAGTCTAGTAAACCTATTGACTTAAGGTTGTGGTGGTGGTTGGACTTGTTTTTCTTTTTCTATTTCTTTTTCAACAAGATGTTCAGCAATTGGCTCTTAGACTTATTGCTCCCTTACTTCCACATGATCATCATTTATAGCACTAGGTTGAGGTGTTGAAGGAGTACAATAATCATTGTCTACTCTTTCTTGAGTAGACTCATTATCATCTTGCTTTTTGGAGTCTTCAGTAGTTTCATTCTCAAGAAACACTACATCTCTGGTTCTCATAAGCTTTCTGTTCTTCAAGTCCCACAATTTGTAGCCACACTCCTCATCACCATATCCCAAGAACACATACTAGTTTATCTTTTCATCAAGCTTTGCTTCCTCTTTTTTCAAAACATGCAGTTATGCCTTACAACTGAATACCCTCAAATGCCTATAGGATACTTCTTTACTTGACCAAAGCTTCTTTGGAACATCACCATTTAGAACAACTAAAGGTGATCTATTAATTAGGTATAATGTAGTGTTTAAAGCCTTACCTCAAAAGGACTTTGGCAACTTAACATGAGAAAGCATACAAATAATTTTGTTACAAATAGTTCTGTTCATTCTTTCAGCAACTTCGTTGTGTTGTGGGGTTCTAGGGGTAGTTTTTTCTAGCTTGATTCCTTGTTCTTTACAATAGCATGTAAATTGTCCACTATATTCACCAACCTTATCTAGATCTACCAAAAGCAAATAGAAAAAGATAGACAATAAGTCTTAAAAAGGCTTAAATCCAAATAGATAACACTTCATGAAGTTTCAAATATAAATAAAATGAGCTAATAAAGGACTTGTTCATTCATTTCTTCTTAAATTAGGAGGATCTTCATTGAACCATGCATCACATTCACAAAAATCATTTTCAAAATCATAGCTTTCATCATTTTCTTCACCAATAGACTCCAAATCAATTCCTCCACTTGCACCTCAACATGTAATGATTCTCCTTCACCACCTTGAACTTCTTCAATGTCATGTGTGCCACCTTAAAGGTTAATTGCAAAACATGAAACAAATAAAAATAAAAAAAATTAAATCATAATTTTAATGAAAATCAAAACACCATGTTAAGTACTTTAAAACTTTAATATGTGACTAATCTTTTCTACAACATATTGGTAATACTTGATCACTATAAATCATATTCTACAACTCTTCATAATCAAGAATTGGAGAATCATCTTCTTCCATAATCCACTCCTCAACATTGTCTATACTTTCATAATCAATGGGATCAAAGCAAGTCTTTTTTTTATTATCATTCCTAGCATTACAGATACAAATAAAATATAAAAGAAGCATAAATATTCAATTCAAGGAAATGAATAAAGGTATACAACTTCAAAAAATAAATGTTATTGTAGATTAGAGATAAAATAAATTACCTATGTTTCAAATGTAAATTGTAATCCACATAAACAAGATCATTTAACCTTTGGTGCTTCAATCTATTCCTTTTTTTTTTTTTTTTGTGTGTGTGAATTTTGTAAAAAACATTCCAATTTCTTTTACAACCCAAAAAAGACAATGTTTGACTTAAGATTTAAATAGCTAATTTCTTTAAATTTGGAGCACTATATCCAAAATATTTCCACCATTCATCTATCAAGATAAGAAGATAAAATAACAAAGATAAGAAGATAAAATAACAAAGATGTTAATAAAATAAGAAGTTAAAAAAATGTCATAAAGAATTAAAAAGAAAGTACAATAACTTTTAAAACTTAAAAAAGTTAAAATCTTACCAAGTTTCATGGTTTTTGAAAATTCAAGAGCACTTTCATAAGTAAAGCTTTCCATTTTTTGGTCATACAACTCACACTCACTCAAGAATTTTTACTTTTGAGACGGTACTTTTGCATCCATAATATTCATAAAACCTTTCATGATTTCTTTTTTGGTTGAGAAATTTTCTTTATCATAAAAAAAGCTGGATTCAAATAATTGATAGCAGCATGAAGATTTTGTCGAAGTGGTCTATCCCATCTTTCCTTGATAATTCTTGTATAAGGTTTGTACAAAGACTTCCTATTCATCAAAATTGCTTTAATTGCTTTTCTAGTCCTATAGATGCCATCATAGATATAACCAAGTAAAGGTCTCTCATCACCATCCACAATTCTAAGGAAGTGAATAAGTGGTCCCACGATTTTCACATCTAGCTCACAATTATTCCAAAATCTCTTGTCTAAAACAATAGCCACAACATCTTTTGCCTTTTGATCTTTATAATATCTAGACTCTCTAAACTCCAAATTAGTAACCAATGCTTGTAAGTCATGCTTATGATCATGAATACTTTTCAATGCAATGAATGTTGTTGCAAAACGTGTTGGCTTTGGACGTATGATTTCTATCCATCCTTCTCTTTTTCTTAACCAAGCTTACAATAAAGGATGATTGTATATAAATTTGGGCACCAAAGATGCACTAGTTGCAAGGCCACTAACAAGATTCAACTTGCTAATATCACTCAATATCAAGTTTAAGCAATGGTCAGTAAAAGGAGACCAAAAGATTGTAGGATATATGTTATTTAACAATTTTTCAACCTTTTTATCATTAGCTGCAGTATCAGTAACCAAATGCATCATATTATTAGCACCCACAAACTCAACCAATTCTATGAACAAATTGCATAACATAGAAGCATCTTTAACCACATCAGAGGCATCAACTGATTTCACAAAAGTAATTTCTCTAGGAAAATAAACAAGAAAATTAATTAACTGTCTATTGTTTTGATCTTGCCAACCATCACCCATAATAGTGCAATTGATCTCTACCCATACACTCTTATAAGAATTAACCAATAATTGGGCTTCCTTTTTCAAATCACGTAACAAAGTGGATCTCATCATATGATAACTTGGTCCTTTGTAACCAAGACCAATTGCAACAATAGCATCAAGCATAGGTCGAAAATAAGGAGAATTTGTAGCATTTATGGGCAAACAACTATCAAAGAAAAACCTAGCAACAGCCATATCAGCCTTGTGGATAGCATCTTTACTTGCCATTGCACTTCTAATAGATGGTTGAGATCCAAGAGCTGTTCTTGGAGCAAAGTAGTTTTAAATCCCACTTGCACTTGCCTTCCTTTTGTTGCCCATTTCCGTTGAAGTTGCTAACCCTTTCCTTTGAATTGTGATTGTTGTGCTACTGAAGCTAGGATCTCTTGCAAGTCTAGTGCATTTCCCTTGGGATCCATGGCACTAGACTCGAATGGATTGTCTTCCCATTGGTTTTGTGTTTGCCTTTTATTTTCTTTAATTTCTTTCAAAATTTTTTTGCATCCAATAACGAACATCAAACGGCACTTTATCACACTTTCTTATGTCTTCACCCTTTCTCGCAAGGTGTTGTTTTATTCTATGTATTCCCCATCCTCTAAATGTTCTTTGGCAATGCAAACATTTTATGACTTTTCTTGCACCATCTGTAACTTCTACACAATGCTGCCATGCCGCATCCACTTTTTGCCTTAAGGATTGCAATTGTGAGGATGTAGGAGTTGTTGCTAAAGCTGCAGTTTGTCCGAATGATGACATTTTATTGCAATATACATCAAATAAATCATTAATAATTGGCAACTCTACAAAATGCAAAGTATACAAGGGACTTTTCCTTAGATTAACATGTGTAGATCAATGTGTCTATGATTTTTCTTTTTCCCTTAGAACAAAAGAAAAACAAAAACTGAAAAAGAACATTAAAAAAAAAACTCAAAAAAAGAAGACGAATTATATAGTGGGTCATGGAGTTCTAGGTTTCGGTGAGGTGGGTTTTTCTCTTGTGAACTCAATATATTCATTGGATTAATTCTTGTGTGACTAGCTCTAAGAGGTGTGCAATATATAAATGCAATATATGTGTTGTAAGCATTAGGCCTTGCGACATAAAAGCTAGAGTTTTGTAGTGTCATGTTCTCTATAGTTTTTGTATCAAGAAGTAGAGGATGTAAGGTGGGTGGGTCTATATTCTTTCCATTTATTGTTATCTCAAGCATTTCTTCTATCTCTTGCTCTAAGAAAAATAATTGATCTATTGATTGTTATTAATTATTAATTATTGTAAAAAAGATTAAAACAAGTTAAAAGTTTAATTAACACAAAATATGCAACTTGCAAGTGTCCAAGAACCAGACCCAAACATAGAATATATGACTAATTAATACAAAAAATTCAAAGTGTCTTGCAAGTGTCCAGCAACTTTATTTCTAATTCTAAAATTGGAAAAGAATTAATCGTTTGTAATTCTAAAAAGTTATAAATTTAGTCCAATTTTTTCTCATCAAAATTGTCGAATGAAGAATTTGATGAAACAAAAATACACTTGTGCCTGGGTGGGAGAAGCTATGAAGTGTGAAGAGGCAATGAAGGCCAATTACAGAACATGAGGCACACAGAAGGGATGCACGCAACAGGCCAGGGTCTGCTTTTTGCGAATGGTGATCAACGGCGGTGAGAGCAGAGACCAATGCTAGTGAGAGCAGACCAGCAGAAATCAAGGCCGATGAAGTGAAAGAAAGTAGATCAGTAGAAAGTAGTTATGGACTTCCAGTGGGAGCAGATCAACATAAAGCAAAGCAGCTTTGGTGATAGCAAATCAACAAAAGGTAGAGAGCAGCTTCGGTTCAGTGGAAGCAGATCAACATAAAGCAGAGAACAGCTCCGGTGAGAGTACATCAGCAAAAAGCAGAGAGCAACTTCGGTGAGAGCAGATCAACAAAAAGCAGAGACCAATGCCGGAGATCAAACACAACAAAGAGGGAGGGGAGTGCTGGCGATGTAGGAGAGGGTAGAGAGGCGGAGAACTTGGGTTGGGAGTCGAGGGTTTTCACAAAAAATTTTAGATTTTAGATTTTCAGCTTGAGTTTCTAATTTAGTTTTTGATGATTTTGCAATTTTGTTGAAATTAAGGGTTAAAACTGGTATAACAAAGGAATGGTAAGGGTGAAATTGGT